GCTACTCAAAGACATTCAGAGACTTGTCCCGAAGCCACCCCTGCGTTGTTTTGGCTGTGTACTTAGGGTTGTTGTCCTGTTGGAAGCTGAACCTTCGCCCTGTCTGAGGTCCTGAACGCTCTGGAGCAGGTTTTCATGAAGGATCTCTCTGTACTTTGCTTTGTTCATCTTTCCCTCGATCCTGACTAGTCTCCCGGTCCCTGCTGCTGAAAAACATCCCCATAGCATGATGCTGCTACCACCATGCTTCACTGTAGGGATGGTGCCAGGTTTCCTCCAGACGTGTCGCTTGGCATTCAGGCCAAAGAGGTCAATCTTGGTTTCATCAGACCAGAGAATCTTGTTTCTCATGGTCTGAGAGTCTTTAGGTGCCTTTTGGCAAACTCCAAGCGGGCTGTCATGTGCCTTTTACTGAGGAGTGGCTTTGGTCTGGCCACTCTACCATAAAGGCCTGGTTGGTGGAGTGCTGCAGAGATGGTTGTCTTTCTGTAAGGTTTTCCCATCTCCACAGAGGAACTACTCAACTATTTGCGTTGTTTGCGCTATAACCCATTCGTTCATACGCCACCGTGATATACAATAAGGCTGTGACAACAAAAAGACAACACTCACACAGTGGCGGAATAAATTCAACTACACATACTGTATGTTTGTTTCATCACAAAACCGGAGAGCAACATCTGTCTGGTGAAGTCCACAAACAGTTATATGACCTGCAGCATGGTCAAGCAAGTTAATGTTTTCAACAGTTTACTAAACAACTACTGATTTAGAACCACTGAGTTACCGCAAGTCGGCAAAGACAACGGGAGCACTGCCTCTGCTATTCCAGCACCATTTCAACTTAAACATTTAAACATCATCAAATCAACAAGGCTATATATGCTAAGTGTTAATACACTGCAAACAAACTTAAAGATACCATTAACAAAAAAATTGTCCAATCAATGTTGCTAAATATCATCTGGCTGTCCATGGTACTGATTTCTTTCTTTCTGTGTGTGTGTGTGTGTGATTTTGTGTGTGTGCGCAAGTAAAAAAAAAAAAAAAGTTGACTAAACCTACTTGTAGACTAGTTGAACGTCAATGCCATCCTCCTCTCTTTCATTTTGGCAAAACGGTCTCTGTCATACAGTACGCTTTTAGTTTTTGTTTTCATAGCCTACCTAGCTAAAATGCTTGGTAGCCTAACTTTCTCGCATGGGCAACAATGAACCAGTTAAGTTAGCTGGCTAGTTAATGTGAGCCTACTAGGCTACATCTAGACTACAAATTGAACTTCAATCATCTCAGCCCTGTGGCACAATATAATAATTTATGGTTAGACCAGAATCGCTGTCATAATCATTGGCCTGTACAACAGGAGGCCACTGAGGGGAGAAAGGCTCATAATAATGGCCGGAACGGAGCAAATGGAATGGCATCACACACATGGACACCATGTGTTTGATTAATTTGAATTTGATACCATTATTCTAATTCCACTCCAGTCACTACCACAAGCCCATTCTCCCCAATTAAGGTGCCACCAACCTCCTGTGGCCTGTACAGAGAATTATGTCAAACCACGAGTCTAAATCCACATCTCAATCCATGGCTTAGGAAATGGCCGATTTAGCAAATTAGCTACTACAGGAAATCAACACAAGCAGACCAGAAACAGACATGTTTTTCTGACAATGATTACGTTTTGCTTAGGATGTGATTTGATTGGTGTGAAGCCAAATCCAAACAGGTCTCCTTTGGGGGTGTTTTGCTGCGCCAGGACAACCCACAGTTGAGTTCAGCTTAATGCTGATTGGCTAATTATTTTATTAAAAAATAGCATCAATCAAATGCTACGGCGGCAACATGTCATACTCCTCTGTTCCAGACAGCATCCGATACATGGGCTACACATACTGAGACAGAGAGGGTGCTGTTTCCCTCGCTCTGATGATTTCTCTGGTGAGATTCAGCAACTTGCAAATTGACGGAACATTATGAAAACACAGAGAGATGAAAGTGAAATCATTTTATAATTGTAATTTTTTTATTGGTAAAATATTTGGGGAAACCTGGCTTCCCTAGGCATCCATGAACACACACCACTGTTGCACCCATTACTGAAATGGTTGTTCCAGCTTAGATGGTTTGAACTTTAGCTAGTTTAATATCTTAATCTTCCCAACCTGGCAGTCATTCTGAATGCAGGTTACAGGTGAATAAAAATTCAAAATGTTGGATATCCCCACTCTGGCTGGATTCCAATAGGAATTACACATCACTTTGCAAGCCATCATAATGTGACTTGCAAGCCTGAAAACCTTGAATTTCAGGCTAATGTATTAGAGTAAAACTAGGCCCTCAAAATAAGGCATTATTAAATACTTGTTGGATTTTGTTAAATAATTTAATTTGAATGATAACATATTCACTTAGGATCTCACTTTGTGAAGGCCACAAGACTGAAAATGGATGAATGCAACAACCTGTCACAACAATGTCTCTGTCTCTGTCACTAACACATACAGTCATGAGTGGTATCTCTAAAAGGGCAAGGCACTCTGGGAAATATGCAAATAAGGCATGAGGGCTTTCTATTACGCTGGCCCGGGTTGAACCGGGCAATGGCCCGTCATGTCATCGGGCGAAAGTGGGGAGGGAGGAGAGCCCTTCTCAAATCAAACTGTAATCTGCACCGCTCGGTCATGTTGTCAAGAAGGCAGCATGGTGCATCATCCAGAAACATACAGTACATCTCTTTTCCATAAAGTAAATGTTTGCTTCCACTGGGAAGGCAGATAAAGCGTTTTTTTATTTAAAGCAATCACTTTTACATGTGAAAACACAGAATCCTACTCATCATTCACAGTGCTTAATTATGTTCCGAAACAAATGTGATCACTTTTCACCCTGTTCAAACTCCTCCAAACGGGGTAACGTGGGCCAGATAAACGAACCCACTCAGTGTGTTAATTCAACACTGAAAAGTGTGTACCTGTACAGACACTGGAACAGTGTTAAATTTAACACTAGCTAGATTTCCATCCAATTGGCGACAGACTTTCATGCCAATATTCTAAAATCCGCATAAAAACAATATGTGAATGTGTTTCCATCAAATTGACTTGTTGCAGATAAAAGACTGTGCGTGATTATCTAGTGCACATACAAATAACTTTTGTGGTTCAATTCCCACTGTCTTTTCAACTCTACTGATGGTTTTCAAAAAAATAAAAAAGTTTGCGCTATATAGCGAGTGTGATCACTCCGATATTGGCATGTGCTCTCTAGTCATAAAAGCGTTTCCGCCTACATTTCTCGCATAATTCATTTTACCGACACAAAAAGATCTCAACTTGTCTAGGATATTTTATTTTGTCAACATTTGGAAAGTTTACCGAAAAATGTTATGTTTCCATCAGGCCTGTCATGAAAGTTTTTATCCGACATGTACTTTACTCACATAAAAAGGTTGGATGGAAAGCTGGTTAGTGTCAGTGTTGATTTAACACTGGAGAATGTGCTGTGCACACACACTGAAACCAACAAGGGGTTCACAATGGTGTTTCATTATAGGCCTTAGTTTTTCCCTGTCATGTTATTATGCAGCAAATATCAAGTTTCTGCTTTTTGTGCATGATTGTAATTTCCTCTTTAATGATTTTCAGTGTCACGTAGGTCCTAAGATGTGTCTTGTCAGAAAACGTATCGAGGAATAAGGGCGAGTTCCTATTTGCATGTGACTTTTATTTGAGAAACCAAATTGAACTGTAGCTTGTAATGTATGGCATACAATTATGCAAAGTGCAAACTGCGGACAACAGGGACTGTTGTCATCGGTGCACTGAGTTTGAATGCAGTGACGGCCACGGATACATAATGTAAGTCTATTTATTTAAAAGGTGAGTCATTTCATTCCAATGAATCATGATGTATAGTTTTGTTCTGCACCTATTTTACTATTTTCTGGTGTGTAAGCTATTTTGACTGTCACAGTTTGAATTAAATGTAGCTATCATTTTTATAGGTACTATAAACTTTATGTAGACCTAGGGTATATTTAGTATTCTGTTAACCATAGTAAGGACTTAGCCAACACTGTGTCAACAAATCTCTCTTTCCAGAGTTTTTGCTAGATGTGTCTTGGTTGAAGGGATTGAGACTAGCCTACATGAATGTGAGTGGTGTGTTGGACATTTTGCAAGTGTTAGATTTTAAATATAATCTCCTCTTAGTAACTAAAATGTTTAAGACGTTTATTGAAACATGATAATCCACACTGAGTATAAATGACATTAAGTGGAAGTGACTGGCACTATAAAAGCCCAATATCCTCCTGGAATATGTCTTGATATGAGTCGGTTTCATGTATCAAGTATTTGCCAATGCAGTTTACAGTTCACAGTGTCCAGAACACTGACCCAGTTACAGTAAGACAAACCACCAAATGTTATTTGAACCATGCGATAAAAAGGAAATAATTGAAATAGTCATATACATTGATAACATACATATAATATAATTTTCTTTCTTCTATAGAAGTGACTGAGGCTTCTGACTATCACCTATAGGTTTCACCAGAAAATAGACCCTCCAGTCGGACTGATTGACTTCTACTTCCTGCTGGGAATAGAAGGGGGAGGTTGAACTTGAGATATAGTTCCTGAAAAAGCACATCCCTTTGGCAGGAGCTGCTCTTAACCGATAAACACTGGGACAGGAAACTATGAAAGTATTTTAATAAGCCAGCAGGAAACAATATTTCTGTGTGTGTCAGAGCAGCAGGGCAGGGGTGAGCTGTGATGTGTTCTCCTGTTGAAGTTTTGACATAATTTGCATCTCTTCTGTGACTGGCATGTTTACTAATGTAGGTAGTGTAGCCTGGGTGGCTGGATGCCTAGATGCAACACGATCCTGTGGTGTTTGCTTGAGCCTCATGTTGCAGTGGATTTTCAGGTTTAACGTTGTGTGACGTGACTGACTGACGGTGGGTGTTGTGTGGTTCTGATCTTCAGATAGACACCAGGATGGCAGCTGAAGGGGCCACTGAAGGGGCCACAGAGAAGAGGGCCAACTTGGTGGCATCTAAAGTCATGTGGAGTAACAGGGATGACATACCTATGTCAGCACCAGAACAGTCACATGGCAGTGACAGAGCTGGTAAGACCTCTTTCCTATAGTCTATTGTTCTGCAGATTGCAGATGTTCAACTAGAGGAATAAGAAACTGTTTAGAAAACTGTGTGATATTGGAGACCGTAGATTACATTTTTGTAACTGTCTAGAATCTCTATATCTATGTATTTGACTCAGACCTTGACAGAAAATACCAGCTTTTCAAATACTAATTGTAGTTGAATATAGTTTATATAGAGCTTAAAGTAAAGGCAACTATTTTCTTTGATATTCAAATACAGGTCTCAGAAAAACAAATAATATTTGAACGTTTTTTGAATACTTCTCTGAAAACCCAATAATATTTGAAGTTATTAGAATATATGCAAGTTATTTTATAAATACAAATTATTTATTTGATGGCTGTCAAATATTTCAAGAAGAACCAAAAACTACAGTTAGTTGAATTAGTCTAAATATATGATCATAACCACATGTTTTGGAGGGCTCTTAGATAGGAATCTTAATATGGCCTATAGCCTATTGCCTAGAATTAAATTAATGAGGGAGATGGAATCACCTCAACATTACAGTAGACCACTTTTGCAGCTTCAAAATGACTAATACATATATTTTCATAATGAGTGAGACATAAGGTAATACAATTACACTTGACATAAAGTTCTTATACAAGTGTAGTGACTTTGAGATCAGGGCCTGCCACACTGCAGGTTAGGATTGTCCAGGAATGGTTCCACGAACATGACAGTGAATTCAGCTTACTTCAGTGGCCTGCCCAGTCACCAGATCTCAATCCAATTGAGCTTTTGTGGGATGAGAGGGAACGAGCTATTCAGAGTAGAGATCCACTACCAGCCAACTTGACACAACTGTGAGAAACACTGGAGTCAACATGGGCTAACATCCCTGTTTAATGCTTTCGACACCTTGTAGAGTCCATGCCCCAACAAATTGAGGCTGTTTTGAGGGTAAAATTAGGTGCAACTCAATATTAGAAAGGTGTTCCTAATGTTTTGTACACTCAGTGTATATACACAGTGAAGTCAAAGAACCTTGAGGGTTCTATCCCTACCCCAGAGTGCAATGGGAATGTTAGAAAACAACCGCTAACAAATGCTAACAGAAGCAAACCGGATGGACATCATGAAAATGATCGGAGAGGTTGAGAGTAGATATAAGTAGGTATAAGCTGGAGGTAGAGGCCTAAGCATTGTTGTTCACTAGTTTACTCCAAGTAGGGAAAGGGTGGCGGGGTTGGAAAGTAATAAAGGGGAATATATATATATTTTTAAAGGATATGTATGTGTATGTATGTGTGTGTGTATGTGTGTGTATATATATATATATATATATATATATATATATATATATATATATATATGTATATGTATGTGTATGTACAGTGGGGAGAACAAGTATTTGATACACTGACGATTTTGCAGGTTTTCCTACTTACAAAGCATGTAGAGGTCTGTAATTTTTATCATAGGTACACTTCAACTGTGAGAGACGGAATCTAAAACAAAAATCCAGAAAATCACATTGTATGATTTTTAAGTAATTAATTTGCATTTTATTGCATGACATAAGTATTTGCTACATCAGAAAAGCAGAATTTAATATTTGGTACAGAAACCTTTGTTTGCAATTACAGAGATCATACGTTTCCTGTAGGTCTTGACCAGGTTTGCACACACTGCAGCAGGGATTTTGGCCCACTCCTCCATACAGACCTTCTCCAGATCCTTCAGGTTTCGGGGCTGTCGCTGGGCAATACGGACTTTCAGCTCCCTCCAAAGATTTTCTATTGGGTTTAGGTCTGGAGACTGGCTAGGCCACTCCAGGACCTTGAGATGCTTCTTACGGAGCCACTCCTTAGTTGCCCTGGCTGTGTGTTTCGGGTCGTTGTCATGCTGGAAGACCCAGCCACGACCCATCTTCAATGCTCTTACTGAGGGAAGGAGGTTGTTGGCCAAGATCTCGCGATACATGGCCCCATTCATCCTCTCCTCAATATGGTGCAGTCGTCCTGTCCCCTTTGCAGATAAGCATCCCCAAAGAATGATGTTTCCACCTCCATGCTTCACGGTTGGGATGGTGTTCTTGGGGTTGTACTCATCCTTCTTCTTCCTGCAAACACGGTGAGTGGAGTTTAGACCAAAAAGCTCTATTTTTGTCTCATCAGACCACATGACCTTCTCCCATTCCTCCTCTGGATCATCCAGATGGTCATTGGCAAACTTCAGACGGGCCTGGACGTGCGCTGGCTTGAGCAGGGGGACCTTGTGTGTGCTGCAGGATTTTAGTCCATGACGGCGTAGTGTGTTACTAATGGTTTTCTTTGAGACTGTGGTCCCAGCTCTCTTCAGGTCATTGACCAGGTCCTGCCGTGTAGTTTTGGGCTGATCCCTCACCTTCCTCATGATCATTGATGCCCCACCAGGTGAGATCTTGCATGGAGCCCCAGACCGAGGGTGATTGACCGTCATCTTGAATTTCTTCCATTTTCTAATAATTGCGCCAACAATTGTTGCCTTCTCACCAAGCTGCTTGCCTATTGTCCTGTAGCCCATCCCAGCCTTGTGCAGGTCTACAATTTTATCCCTGATGTCCTTACACAGCTCTCTGGTCTTGGCCATTGTGGAGAGGTTGGAGTCTGTTTGATTGAGTGTGTGGACAGGGGTCTTTTATACAGGTAACGAGTTCAAACAGGTGCAGTTAATATAGGTAATGAGTGGAGAACAGGAGGGCTTCTTAAAGAAAAACTAACAGGTCTGTGAGAGCCGGAATTATTACTGGTTGGTAGGTGATCAAATACTTATGTCATGCAATAAAATGCAAATTAATTACTTAAAAATCATACAATGGGATTTTCTGGATTTTTGTTTTAGATTCCGTCTCTCACAGTTGAAGTGTACCTATGATAAAAAATTACAGACCTCTACATGCTTTGTAAGTAGGAAAACCTGCAAAATCGGCAGTGTATCAAATACTTGTTCTCCCCACTACATATATATATATATATAAAACATGGGGGATTGGAAGTGATGCAGACAATTACATTGATGAAAGTTACAATCTATCTGCAATATTAAGCTGATCTAACCCCCCCCCCCCCCCCCCAAAAAAAAAAGATTAAAAAAATTAAATGCTAACCCAGTCACATCAAACTCTGAAATGACAGCTAACATACACTTTTAATTTGTTTCAGCTATTTCACATTGACATTTATATCGATATGAATGATGCTGCTGCATGATTTCGCCTGGTGAGAAAAATGGCTAGCAGACGTCTAACACCGCTCTCTTTGGTGGGGGAAGATCTAATTCATATTTTGCAACATTGTTGCTGAGGTTTGAGTGGCAAACAGCAAGGTTCATATAAACCTGTGCTGTTGCAAACTAAATGCTAGCTGGAAGCAAGAGGAAATACTGTGTTTAATAAAAGCATGCACTCTTAGATAAAAACCTTTTCTAGCATGGCGAGCTACGATTTATTTTCTAGCTTTCAAATAGGTACATTCTTCTCTTCTCCTCTCCCCTGCAACTCTTCGCCGCTGTCCTTAGTGTACAAGAGAAAGTAGTGCAATATGTTTTCTGTCAATATATCTGGTAAAATAATGGTTCAGAAACAACTCTAAGGGGGGCCCTATAAAATCTGATTTCCCCCTCACCAAATTATGTTTTATATTTTCCCGTTTATGTTCTAGGTTTAATTGTTCCTGGTTTTAGATTTTTTGTGTTTTTCACTCTTAAAATTACAATCATTCATAGAGAAACAACGAAATTGGATGTTCTAAGTCCATGTCAATGCTTAAATCACATCAGAATACATTTTTTTTTTTAGGTCTGGAAGAAGGTCTGGAACAAATGTAGATTTTTTAGAGTAATTCCCCTTCAATTGCGCATCTGGCCCTTTAATTGTGCATCTAGCAAGTGAGGAATGTTCATCTATTGTGCCGGTCTAGTGATGGTTCTGTACTAATGCTGCTCATTTCATGGCAAAGTTTGCAAATAATAGATACAAATTATATACTTACTCATGATATATTTCTGCCAGGTAAGCCTACTTTTTTGTTAACATTTAATTGTTTTTGGGGAAAGTATTTCTGTCCACCCACAAGATGGTTATCACATCAACTGGCTACACACAGAGGGATAGACAAATGAACGCACCACACAGATGGGTAATATTGCTGGAAATTAATTGGCATATACAGTGAGGGAAAAAAGTATTTGATCCCCTGCTGATTTTGTACATTTGCCCACTGACAAAGAAATGATCAGTCTATAATTTTAATGGTATGTTTATTTGAACAGTGAGAGACAGAATAACAACAAAAAAATCCAGAAAAACGCATGTCAAAAATGTTATGAATTGATTTGCATTTTAATGACTGAAATAAGTATTTGACCCCTCTGCAAAACATGACTTAGTACTTGGTGGCAAAACCCTTGTTGGCAATCACAGAGGTCAGACGTTTATTGTAGTTGGCCACCAGGTTTGCACACATCTCAGGAGGGATTTTGCCCCATTCCTCTTTGCAGATCTTCTCCAAGTCATTAAGGTTTCGAGGCTGACGTTTGGCAACTCGAACCTTCAGCTCCCTCCCCAGATGTTCTATGGGATTAAGGTCTGGAGACTGGCTAGGCCACTCCAGGACCTTAATGTGCTTCTTCTTGAGCCACTCCTTTGTTGCCTTGGCCGTGTGTTTTGGGTCATTGTCATGCTGGAATACCCATCCACGACCCGTTTTCAATGCCCTGGCTGAGGGAAGGAGGTTCTCACCTAAGATTTGACGGTACATGGCCCCATCCATCGTCCCTTTGATGCGGTGAAGTTGTCCTGTCCCCTTAGCAGAAAAACACCCCCAAAGCATAATGTTTCCACCTCCATGTTTGACGGAGGGGATGGTGTTCTTGGGGTCATAGGCAGCATTCCTCCTCCTCCAAACACAGCGAGTTGAGTTGATGCCAAAGAGCTCCATTTTGGTCTCATCTGACTACAACACTTTCACACTTTCACACAGTTCTCCTCTGAATCATTCAGATGTTCATTGGCAAACTTCAGACGGGCATGTATATGTGCTTTCTTGAGCAGGGGGACCTTGCGGGCGCTGCAGGATTTCAGTCCTTCACAGCGTAGTGTGTTACCAATTGTTTTCTTGGTGACTATGGTCCCAGCTGCCTTGAGATCATTGACAAGATCCTCCCGTGTAGTTCTGGGCTGATTCCTCACCGTTCTCATGATCATTGCAACTCCACGAGGTGAGATCTTGCATGGAGCCCCAGGCCGAGGGAGATTGACATTTCTTTTGTGTTTCTTCCATTTGCGAATAATCACACCAACTGTTGTCACCTTCTCACCAAGCTGCTTGGCGATGGTCTTATAGCCCATTCCAGCCATGTGTAGGTCTACAATCTTGTCCATGACATCCTTGGAGAGCTCTTTGGTCTTGGCCATTGTGGAGAGTTTGGAATCTGATTGATTGATTGCTTCTGTGGACAGGTGTCTTTTATACAGTTAACAAACTGAGATTAGGAGCACTCCCTTTAAGAGTGTGCTCCTAATCTCAGCTCCTTACCTGTATAAAAGACACCTGGGAGCCAGAAATCTTTCTGATTGAGAGGGGGTCAAATACTTATTAAAATGGAAATCAATTTATAACATTTTTGACATGCGTTGTTCTGGATTTTTGTTTTGTTATTCTGTCTCTCACTGTTCAAATAAACCTACCATTAAAATTATAGACTGATCATTTCTTTGTCAGTGGGCAAATCAAATACTTTTTTCCCTCACTGTATTATGGTAGATTTGGCTATTTAAGCCAATAGTGGCTAACCAGGGGTAGGATATTGTCAATGTTAAGTTGATAGAGCCCTATCATAATACCCATAAAACCTAGCTGTCAAACAGGGAAATGGTTCCAATCGTTTTTCCACCATTCATTTTTCCCAAAGGGGATTTTAGAAACACTTAAAATAAGGGCTGTGTTTCTTGTAGGCTTACCCTGGCATGACGTTTTGATAACCATGTAAATCTCTCTCGGACAAGGTGACTTTTATCAATATATTCAGCTCTATTTACTCTCAGATTCGAAAATGCTAATTAGCATCAACGTAGATATAATGCAAGACTACAAATCCCTGCAAGCTCCTGCACGTCATCTCTAGCTGACACGTTTGCTAACAGGTATTGTGTCAATTTCAAACTTGCGCAAGAGAGTTCACAGAATTGTCCATTTAAAGAAATGTAGCCAATTTATGTATTACTACATTTAGCTAACATTAGATAGTTAATCCAGAGATTCTTACCTTTGCCTCTATTCGGCGGTCTTGTCCAGATCATCATGGCATTTGTAGTTCTTTATGATAGCCACATTAGCTGCTAATTAGTAAATACAGGCGAATATATTGATAAAAGTCACCTTGTCCTAGAGAGATTTACACAGTTATTAAAACATCAGGCCAGGGTAAGACTACACAAAACACAGCCCTTATTTTAAGTGTTTCTAAAAAAAAATATGGGAAAAAAATATGGTGGAAAAACAATTGGAACCATTTTGACCGGTAGGTTTTACGAGTATTATGACTCATACTGTGGTACTCTATTACATGGTAGCTGGGAGCTTGCGGTGTCTGATACGTGTGAGATTTGTTTATGACTGTTTGCGGTGGAACACATGAAAGTAGCATGTACTTTAAGAATTGTTTGGCCAGCTACTCATAGGAGGGCTGCGAGCTACTGGTATCTCGTGATCGACCTGTTGGAGACCCCTGATATAGAACCTTTTGGTCAATTCAAAATGTAACTGCCATTCTGATAAATAAAAAACCCAACATGACCAGCATGACCACGCAACAGGATGGTTGTTGAACCAACTTGCAAGCAGCCTACCAATAAGCACGTTATTTTTCAATGTATTAAGGTAAGCAAAGTTCATTATTTAATTCAAATATATAAAGCCAAAGTCATAGTTGTAAAGAAGTCAGCCAGTGTTGACATAGGCCATCGTTCAAATAAAGAGATCCCTCCATGGTCACCAAGTTTCAAATGTGTAATGTCATGTGCGCAAGTACAGTGAAATGCCTTTCTTGCAAGCTCTTATCCCAACAATGCAGCAATCAATCTCAATATAGTACTATAAAGTAAAGTAGAACAAAAACACAAGAAATAGAAATAAGAAACATGACAAAGTAAGCTATATATCACTGCATATTTCCAAATACGTTTGCATATAATGACAATACATTCTAAAAACGATTCTGGTATTCTTTTGTCTATTGTTTAATTGTTTATTAAATTATATTCGTAGCTAAAAAATAATTACTATTTAATTAATAGTAGTAGCTATATGGTCGGGTGGGGCTGCTGAGAATGTGCTGAGAATATTTTTTTGTCGACCCCCTAATTTATCAGCACCCCTACTTCACGAGGCTATGAGTAGCCATAATTCATAAATGGCACCATGCAGGGTTCCATACCATTTTGGTTCAGTGAAGAAGAACCTATAGCGTTCTGATCTAAGAACCTCTAGGGTTCTGATCAAAGAACCCTATAAAAGCATTCTATATAGAACTTTTAGGGGTTCCATATATGAAGCAAGCGATAGAACCCTTTTTGGTTCTATAAGGAACCTATTTTTCTAAGAGTGTAGTTATCCCAGGTATGATTTCAGATCCTATATAAAGCTGATTAATGTTTCTTGGATGAGTCTTGATGTGTGTGTCCATGCCTTTTGTACAGGAATCTGTAGACAGAACAGCGTCCAACAGTGGCTTAGAAGTCATGAGTGAGTATTAGGAAGTCTACTTACATATGACAAATGTTTTACTTATCATATCCACCAATACCTACACAGTGGACTTGGAATTAATAGAGTTGTATTTTTTATTTTATTGAACAGAGTTAATTTGCAGATACAGTTGAAGTCGGAAGTTTACATACACTTAGGTTGGAGTCATTAAAACTCGTTTTTCAACCACTCCACAAATGTTTTGTTAACAAACTATAGTTTTGGCAAGTTGGTTAGGACATCTACTTTGTGTATGACACAAGTAATTTTTCCAACAATTGTTTACAGACAGATTATTTCATTTATAATTCACTGTATCACAATTCCAGTGGGTCAGAAGTTTACATACACTAAGTTGACTGTGCCTTTAAACAGCTTGGAAAATTCCAGAAAATGATGTCATGGCTTTAGAAGCTTCTGATAGGCTAATTGACATTGTTTGAGTCAATTGGAGGTGTACCTGTGGATGTATTTCAAGGCCTACCTTCAAACTCAGTGCCTCTTTGCTTGACATCATGGGAAAATTAAAAGAAATCAGCCAAGACCTCAGGAAAAAAAAATTGTAGACCTCCACAAGTCTGGTTCATCCTTGGGAGCAATTTCCAAACGCCTGAAGGTACAACCTTCATCGGTACAAACAATAGTACACAAGTATAAACACCATGGGACCACGCAGCCGTCATACTGCTTAGGAAGGAGACGCGTTCTGTCTCCTAGAGATGAATGTACTTTGGTGCGAAAAGTGCAAATCAATCCCAGACAACAGCAAAGGACCTTGTGAAGATGCTGGAGGAAACAGCTACAAACGTATCTATAGCCACAGTAAAACAAGTCCTATATCGACATAACCTGAAAGGCCGCTCAGCAAGGAAGAAGCCACTGCTCCAAAACCGCCATAAAAAAGCCAGACTACGGTTTGCAACTGCACATGGGGACAAATATCGTACTTTTTGGAGAAATGTCCTCTGGTCTGATGAAACAAAAATAGAACGGTTTGGCCATAATGACCATCGTTATGTTTGGAGGAAAAAGGGGGTTGCTTGCAAGCCGAAGAACACCATCCCAACCGTGAAGCACGAGGGTGGCAGCATCAGGCTGTGAGGGTGCTTTGCTGCAGGAGGGACTGGTGCACTTCACAAAATAGATGGCATCATGAAGAAGGAAAATGATGTGGATATATTGAAGCAACATCTCAAGATATCAGTCAGGAAGTTAAAGCTTGGTCGCAAATGGGTCTTCCAAATGGACAAGGACCCCAAACATACTTCCAAAGTTGTGGCAAAATGGCTTAAGGACAACAAAGTCAAGGTATTGGAGTGGCCATCACAAAGCCCTGACCTCAATCCTATAGAAAATGTGTGGGCAGAACTGAAAAAGCGTGTGCGAGCAAGGAGGCCTAAAAACCTGACTCAGTTACACCAGCTCTGTCAGGAGGAATGGGCCAAGATTCACCCAACTTATTGTTTGAAGCTACCCGAAATGTTTAACCTAAGTAAAAAAATGTAAAGGCAGTGTTACCAAATACTAATTGAGTGTATGTAAACTTCTGACCCACTGTGAATGTGATGAAAGAAATAAAAGCTGAAATAAATAGTTCTCTACTATTCTTCTGACATTTCACATTCTTAAAATAAAGTGGTGATCCTAACTGACCTAAGACAGGGCATTCTTACTAGGATTAAATGTCAGGAATTGTGAAAAACTGAGTTTAAATGTATTTGGCTACGGTGTATGTAAACTTCAGACTTCAACTGTACCTTATTGGGATTTCATACCTCACTCTATTGTTTAGCCTTGCCTGTTTATTTTCCACATCTTTGTGTGCTGTTTGGGTTGGTGTGAGCTTCCCGACTACCCCTGCTAAAAGCGCTTGACATTTACTTGCAGGGCGGATGCAAAACCAGACCACACCAGAGAAGCTGCAGCAGGTATGGCACATAGACATTTACTTTGATTTACTGGAGTTTAATACCAAGAATGTTCATCTAAAAATGTTTGAGTAATTTCTCATGAATCATTTATTGTTAGTGCTGGTAGTAGTTATATCTACAGTGTAGTTGTGTATTACTGTTATTTTGGTGACACTTCAGCTTAACACATTGAAGTACATTCAATATTAGCCATAGACCAGTAGTTACTGAAAGATGTTTGGATTTAAGTCAAGTTTAAACTTGAGCATGACATACTAACAGTTGAGCTAGATTGAAACTGTTGGAAAATGTGAGTGTAAGAAATGTTACACTACAATACACTACAAGTCATTACAAAACCAATCAACTCATCCTGTAATGTAAAGGTTAAAATTGAATCCTTAGTATAACAGATATGATATATGGAAATGTATTTGTATACATAACCTGGAATTCTCATATTCACCATATACGGGTGTTGTCTCTGGGTAATGAGGAGGCTGTGTCGCTAGAAAGGCAGAGGCGCAGCAAGGCAGATAGATTCAAACGACATGCAAACTAGGCCCGTGAAAACCATGGGAACGACAACTTATAACTCTGTGCTGTAACCAACCAGCCCCTAAACATCCATTAAATGTCCCTGACTGTTGGTCTTAGCCATCACGGGTTTATTATGTCACAGAAAACAAGACTGCTGTTGTTGATTCCTCTATCACTTTCTTCTTCTGAGGTAGTTTTTATCTGTTAGAAGCTGAGTACAAACAGGAGCCTCTTTTGTCAGACTTGGTATTTCAAGAGTCAGGTGGTGACGGTTGCTAATGATATTTATCTCGTTCCATGTTTGTACTCTGTCTAATCTCCATTTTACAGTAAGGGTGTGTCCCAAATGGAACCCTATTTCCTAAGGGACCTAGTCAAAAGTATACTGAACAAAAATATAACTGCAACATGCAACAATTTCAACGATTCTACTGCGTTACAGTTCATATAAGGAAATCAGTCAATTGAAATAAATAAATTAGGCCCTAATCTATGGATTTCACATGACTTGGCAGGGGCGCAGCCATGGGTGGGCCTGGGAGGGCATAGGCCCACCCACTTGGGAGCCAGGCCCAGCCAATCAAAATGAGTTCTTCCCCACAAAAGGGCTTTATTACAGACAGAAATAATCCTCAGCTTCTGGGTGGCTGGTCTCAGACGATCAAGGAGGTGAAGAAGCCGGATGTGGAGGTCCTGGGCTGGCACGGTTACATGTGGTCTGCGGTTGTGAGGCCAGTTGGACATACTGCCAAACTCTCTAAAACGACGTTGGAGGTGGCTTACAGCTCTGGTGGACATTCCTGCTGTCAGCATGCCAATTGCACACTCCCTCAAAACTTAAGACATCTGTGGCATTGTGTTGTGTGACAAAACAGCACATTTTAGAGTGGCCTTTTATTGTCCCCCGCACAAGGTGCACCTGTGTAATGATCATTCTGTTTAATCAGCTTCTTGATATGCCACACATGTGAGGTGGATGGATTATCTTGGCAAAGGAGAAATGCTCACTAACAGGGATGTAAACAAATTTGTGCACAACATTTTAGAGAAATAAGCTTTTTGTGCATATGGAACTGTCACGATCGAGGTAAGGAGTAGACCAAGGTGCAGCGTGAGAAACAAACATGACTTTAATTAGTTAAAGTTTCTAAACAAAACAAAACACGACTCGTGAAGTCCACGGTGACAATGACCGAACATGGAACAAAAACCCACAAACCCAAAGTGAAACACAGACAGTTAAATATGGCTCCCAATCAGAGACAACCAGCAAACAGCTGACACTCGTTGCCTCTGATTGGGAGTCACTCAGTCAAACATAGAAAATGACGAACTAGAACACCCAACATAGAAACAGAACACATAGAATGAACACACCCTGGCTCAACATAATGAGTCCCAGAGCCAGGGTGTGACAGTACCCCCCCCTAAAGGCGCGGACTGCGACCGCGCCTCAACTAAACAAAACAGGGGAGGGCTGGGCGGGCATACCTCCTCGGCGGCGGTTCTGGCTCCGGCCTTGACCACCACCCTCCAATACACCCCCCATAGTGCCCCTGGTCCAGTCTGTCGACTTGCACCCCTGGCTTGGTGCGTGGAGGAGGAACGGGCCTTACCAGGCTGACTTCTCGCACCCCTGGCTTAGTGCGAGTGGCAGGAACAGGCCGGACCGGGCTGGCGACGCGCACCGTAGGTTTGGTGCGAGTGGCAGGAACAGGCCGGGTCGGGCTGGCGACGCGCACCGTAGACTTGGTGCGGGTGGCAGGAACAGACCGGGTTGGGCTGGCAACGCGCACCGTAGACTTGGTGCGGGTGGCAGGAACAGGCCGGACCGGGCTGGCGACGCGCACCGTAGGTTTAGTGCGTGGAGCAGGGACAGGCCGGGCTGGGCTGTCGACGCACACCGTAGGCTTGGTGCGTGGAGCAGGGACAGGCCGGGCTGGGCTGTCGACGCACACCGTAGGCTTGGTGCGGGTGGCAGGAACAGGCCGGGCTGGGCTGTCGACGCACACCGTAGGCTTGGTGCGTGGAGCAGGGACAGGCCGGACCGGGCTGGCGACGCACACCGTAGGCTTGGTGCGTGGAGCAGGAACAGGCCGGGCTGGGCTGTCGACGCACACCGTAGGCTTGGTGCGGGTGGCAGGAACAGGCCGGGCTGGGCTGTCGACGCACACCGTAGGCTTGGTGCGTGGAGCAGGGACAGGCCGGACCGGGCTGGCGACGGACACCGTAGGCTTGGTGCGTGGAGCAGGGACAGGCCGGACTGGGCTGGCGACGCACACCGTAGGCTTGGTGCGTGGAGCAGGGACAGGCCGGGCTGGGCTGTCGACGCACACCGTAGGCTTGGTGCGGGTGGCAGGAACAGGCCGGGCTGGGCTGTCGACGCACACCGTAGGCTTGGTGCGTGGAGCAGGGACAGGCCGGACCGGGCTGGCGACGCACACCGTAGGCTTGGTGCGTGGAGCAGGAACAGGCCGGGCTGGGCTGTCGACGCACACCGTAGGCTTGGTGCGGGTGGCAGGAACAGGCCGGGCTGGGCTGTCGACGCACACCGTAGGCTTGGTGCGTGGAGCAGGGACAGGCCGGACCGGGCTGGCGACGGACACCGTAGGCTTGGTGCGTGGAGCAGGGACAGGCCGGACTGGGCTGGCGACGCACACCGTAGGCTTGGTGCGTGGAGCAGGGACAGGCCGGACTGGGCTGGCGACGCACACCGTAGGCTTGGTGCGTGGAGCAGGGACAGGCCGAACCGGGCTGTGGAGACGGATAGGAGGCCTGGAGTGAATAGCGGCCACCACCCTGTCCTGGCTGAATGCCTACCCTCACACACTCTGTGTGAGGCATCCGCACAGGACGTACAGGGCGGTGTACCCCTGGCCTGGTGGCCTTCTGGATCCGCCCCCTTTTCTCCTCCGTCAGCCCCGTCGTCCATGCCGTGTGCCCCCCCCTAAAAATTTCTGGGGTTGCCTCACGACCGTCCGACGACGACCCTGATCACGCCGTAGCTCCTCTCTACGGCGCGCCTCCACCGTCTCACTCCATGGCCGGCGATCCATCCCGGCCAGGATTTCCTCCCAGGTCCAGGACCCCTGCCCGTCCAAGATCTGCTCCCACGTCCAGGCTGCCTGCTCCTGGACACGCTGCTTGGTCTTGGTATGGTGGGTTTTTCTGTCACGATCGAGGTAAGGAGTAGACCAAGGCGCAGCGTGAGAAACAAACATGACTTTAATTAGTTAAAGTTTCTAAACAAAACAAAACACGACTCGTGAAGTCCACGGTGACAATGACCGAACACGGAACAAAAACCCACAAACCCAAAGTGAAACACAGACAGTTAAATATGGCTCCCAATCAGAGACAACCAGCAAACAGCTGACACTCGTTGCCTCTGATTGGGAGTCACTCAGTCAAACATAGAAAATGACGAACTAGAACACCCAACATAGAAACAGAACACATAGAATGAACACACCCTGGCTCAACATAATGAGTCCCAGAGCCAGGGTGTGACAGGAACATTTCTGGGATCTTTTATTTCAGTTCATGAAACATGGGACCAACACTTTACATGTTGTGTTTATATTTTTGTTCAGTGTAGTATATAGTATAGTACGCTGTATTGTGGTGTTTTCTCTGAATCTCTTCTATATTTCTGTTTAAAACATTACAGGGCTTCTAAAGAGGAACGCCAGCAGTGAGGATGACTTAGCGTTGGGCGTCGAAGGTAAATAGATCTTTCATCTTGTAGTCGTTGTTTTTAGGGTGACATGAACACCAGGTAGCGCCGAGGAACGAGGAGTAAGTTAAAAACAGGTTCTGTGGTTTTAAAACATCACAATGATTAATCCACTGTGTGCTCAGAGGAACATTTGAGCTGTCTGAGAGTGGGTACACAATGAGAAGAATGTTGCTGAGGGCTGGTGTATTTATGCAAGGGGGTAAAATATTGGCAGAGGAGAGATGGTGTCTGTACTTCTTGCTAATATCAGGGCTGAGCACCCAGAAGTAGACAGAGGTAGGGACAGTTAAGACCAGGATGAAAGTCTCAGAGAGACAGGGAGAAGACCATACCAGACATGGGTTCAAATAGTGTTTGAAATCTTTCAAAATACTTTGAGCGTTTGCTCTAGCCTGCCTGGAATGCCAGGTGGTCTGGGTTTGGGACTGTTTTATTGGTTCATTAAGACAGGCAAGTGCAATCAAGCACCGGATAAAGTATTTGAAATGATTAACTAGTATTTGAACCCAGGTCTGGACAATACACACCTCCAGGCAGATCACCCTAAACATGGCTAAGGAAAATCGCGGCGCTTAGCTTTGGCAAACACCACAGCAAATCTTATACAAACACAGCTAGGATCTGATGCTCACCAGTCCTCACTGACACCTACTGGGGTCTGTGTGTGAGAGTGAGTGTCTGTATCCATGTACAGGAGCATTACTTCCACATTATCCCTTCTTAGTCATCACTTAGGCCAGCCTTAGAATCTAATAAAATTGAAGTAAGACAGTAAAGGAAGAGAAGAAAGTGTAGCAGCAGGGAGAAGCAGAAGGAGACAGGATGTCTTAGAAGGGACAGCCGAGGACATTTGGCATGAGCCACTGTGTTCTCCTCAGAGAGCACAGGGAGAACCAGTCCTTACAGAGAGGACAGGGGGTCAATTCCAGACACTGGCCCAAGGAGAGACTGGTCAAGGCTGTCCACTATCTCCTCCCAGGACCGGCTACTCAAGATATAAAAGGGATTGGCTACTTAGAAAGGCCAGTCAACCAAAAGGGACTGCTGCCCCAAACCCTAAAGAAAGATTGACCACCCCGCAGACTCCTCTATCTCCTCCAAGGTACTGCCAGGATACTCAACAGAAAGGTAAGTCAACTGAAAAGAATGCTACCCCAAACTCAGATGTTAGATGGGGATATACAGTTCAGCACCTCTTGGCCTTGAAAAGCACCACCTTATCTGTGGATCAGGAGACCTGGTTATGCAACACCAAATGACATGGCACTTTAGGGAGTCAGCTCAGAACAGAACAGAACACAATGGAACGGAATGACATGCATCATCACCAACTTTCCAAACGCTCCTTTTAGAACTCCTCTTCAGATGGAAGAACTTTGCGGAACGAGACCTGATAGAAAATGATAAGAGTTGGATGTTGGAATCTTGGAGACGTTCTTGGACAAAAAAAAGTCCTGTGTAATAAAATAAAATAACGCTTCGGCCGGCAGCACAGACCACTTTGTCCCTGTCACCATGCCAGGGTAAAATGGAGTCCCAACCTTGAAGTAGAGGTAGAGAGGACAGCCAAGAGAAAACAATGACAGAAAGAACACTAATGCCTAATATAGCTTCTAAACAGAGCCATCCCAGAGACAGGATGTGCTGAATTAGCAGTTGTGGCTAGCAGAGACACAGTGGATAACTAGCTCGTTGTCTTTCATAGCAAGATATTCCAAATATTCAGCCTGGTTTGCTTTCAGATCTAGATAACACTTTCATTTTGTTTTCTTTCTCTTCCTCAGCGTCTTTATATGGTAAACAGGGAGTGAGGACCGTCCAGGAATTTCTGAGGTAAGGAACTTTCCCTCTCTACTGTCTAGTCGGCTGGTTGCTGTCAAACCTTTGGAGCTTTGAAATGAACTGCAACAGAGGGTCTATACATGGCGAGATTACACATCCATGTATAAATCATGTGTCTCTCACATTTTATGTTATGTTATCCAATATATAACTTGTAAATCTGATTACTCTGGATAACTTACTATGGATAAATGGGTTAAAATGTGTTATTGACCCCATAAAAATACAAACATTTCTCTCAAAGTGAGGTTAGATCAAAGATGAAATATATA